GGCCTATCCCTTGAGCAGTGCTAGTGCATGCCTTTCATTTTTTTGTGCACAGATTTTTATTTTTCACGCACAGATTTTGTTCCAGAGAAAGAACATTCTCACATGTACCCATAATATAGCTTTGTGGATACAACAAACATATTTTCATGAACCATGTTGAAGTGAAGACCATATGAAAGCATGCACTGTGCAGTTTATAAGAAAAACATTTTAGTGTTGTAGCTTGAAGAGTTGAACACGGGTCTGTACATTTGCATCGTGAACATAAATATTAATACTTTTTCCATGTTTTTACAATTAAAACAGAATGTTGTTGAGTAGACTGAATAAACACATACATTTCGGTGTCGACATTTAAATTGTATAAGTCCTCGTTCTCAGGGGGTTCTTATCAAAGTGAGCTACGTTTCTATCGAGATGAATGTAGTGAACATGTCTTTGTTTTAATATGAAGGTTGCTTTGTTCATTAAATGAAATTGTTAATATGAAGGTGCTGTGAAATTATTATTTAATGGAATTACATTATGATTGTTGAATCAGTCACAGTGAATCTGGTCCGAGACGGACCGACGGATTTATGAAGTCAGTGATAAGGCCGAATATGGAAGTCAGAACAATGTAGGGTGGAGGTTACGAACCAGTTTGTTAAATGTCGGACCGACAGATTTATGAAGTCGGTAAATGGGCGGAATATGGGAGTTGGGACAACGTAGGGTGGAGGTCGGAGCTTTTACGTCGGTACGACGCCTTCACAACGTCGGTCCAATGACGAAGGTAAAGGTTGGCCCTCCGTCGGCAGGAATAACGGAATTTGGTCGCTAGCTGTTCGTCGGGCCGTGGCCATAAAAGGTAAGTTGATACAACGTCGGTCCTTTAACCGTCCGACGGCATGTTACCCACGTTAGGGGGGGGTTGCAAATACGCACCCTGTCTACCGTCCGACGTCATGTGCTAGCTAAAAAAAATTCAGATGTCAGCCCGACGTCCCTGTGCTACCTGGGTCACCACGGCAGCACAGACAATCACTGCAATGAGCTAGCCGCGCCAAAGTAGTTGAATCTCGTTAATACGAGGGCCTTGGGACTTACTAAATTAGCTCGTTTTATCCGGACCTCAAGTCTGACGCGAAAGCTGCCGTCCTGCTCGACGTATGTATCACCAATCGACCTTAGGTAAAGCGTACATGTGTAGGCCTACAAGTATGCATAACTTTTTGTTTAAAAGTACGTGCGTTTTGTTATATGAATTTGATTTTAAAAAGTTTATCAACGTGAGGTACAGTTTAATGAGTAAAGACTTGTAATAAAAATAATAATAAAATGTAAGAACAGAGGAAGCAGAATTTCCACCAGTCATGAAGATTCGGAGCGATGCCGAATCACAGAGTTCGGGTGGCCTGTTCTTGACACGGGTTTCTTGTTCTCGCGCTCGAACGGCGGAACACGACTCAAGAACACTTTTCCCGGAACAGGATCATGCACCACCTTTTCGTCAGGGTTTTACAGGAACACACGGGAAAACTCGTGAGATTTTGATTTTTGAACGGCTGCAAAAAATTCAAGATGGTCGTACAAAGACGGAGACAATGATAAATTTTACAAAATTAACAATAATCATTTTCCATAGCAAAGAAATGAATGTTCCTTTTTAAACAGAAATGAATTCAGCCCAGCTTTCCAAAGTTCACTCTGAAAGAACGTACATGGATGCCGCCATGGTGCATGCAACGACCACAATAACCGCTTGTATGTTCCCGGTGTTCGAGCGGCCGTCTAACGATTACATATCGAGCGGTTCGTAAGCATACGAAAACACTTAAGTTACGTGCGTGCGGGCGTGCATGTGGATTTCATCACGGCGTCCGAGGCCAAGGATGTGTGGCTGAGTTCGGGCGGCTTGCTCTTATACATGGGCCTTGTGGAGTAACTGGACAATGGGAAGTACCCCGCACAAGGCCAGTTTTTACCTTGTGAAGAATTTCACGAAACTGATATTTGGAAATAACTCCAAATGGGGATTTTTTTATGGATAAAAATCCGTCGCAAATTGAAGTGTTTTACATAAGGGACGTACGGTCGAAATTTCAACCCAGGAAAGTGAATTTGGTTTAAATTGGAGTAGTTTGAATTTTTTTGCGTGTTGTGTGGAAGTTTTGTACACGAGAACAAAGGAAATACCCCACAAGTATAGCTGTGTAAAGATATGTGCATTAACATTTTAGTTGGTAACCAACACCAGAGATCCGCTTCCTGCACATAAAAATAGGAGGACACCAACTATTGGTGGTGTGGACAGCAGAGGGCGAATATCGCATTTTACTTTAGTCTTTTAGAAAGGCGTGTGAGTTTGGTGAAAAATTGTTAGCGAGGGATGCTCCCTTTTCTTCAAAACTTGTGGATGTTATTTTCTCAAACATTTTGGGACTGAAAACCACGGTTTAGTCATGATTTTCTAAAATTGAGAATTTATACGAATACCAAAATCGGAAGGGGCGATATTTTCATGTTATGGTGCAGAGCGGGTGACTTTTTTTGACGGGGTGGGCATTTGGAGGGACCGGGTATTTGGTTTAATATGGAACACAATTTTGATTAGTTTCCCGTGGGACGTTAGTCTTAGAGAATGGGGGGGGGACGGGGAATCAAATGAAAGATTTTTCTAGTTCACCGCTGTCCTAAATCGGTATTGTTTGTGTTAAGGCAGTTCGAGAGCGGCCTAAAAGAATTTCTATGTTAGGTACCGGACCCGCCCATTGTTCTTTCTTGTTCGGGAGACAAAGGGCTTGATTCGGGGGAGGTAAAACCACAGGGCTGTTCCGGGGTATACGCATAAATCACAGAAGCACCTTTCAAAATTGAATGGACTGGCTGATTGACAAGTTGCCTTCAAAAAAGCTTGCGCTAAATAGACAGATAACAATAGATTTGCAATCGGCCAGAACCCCTAAAATGCTCCTCTTAACCGAAATTTGTAACATCCAAGCTCGTTTTACACATTTTTTTCCCTCTTATGAATGTGCACAATTACCCGTGCTCATATTACCGAGAGTCGACTTGGAAAAAAAAGCTAAATTTAAGCATCCCCCATTAAAAAATCCCATTCCAGGTTCAAACCCAGCTTCAGCTAAATTTGTTGTTTGCATTAAAATTGTAAATTTCACCAGGTCAGTTTCCTTTTTTTTCCATATTACCCTCTATAATAGCACTTGCAGAAAATGTGTGGCGCTAAAATTGGTGTTCAGTTAACATCTTTGGTATCACTATACATGTACATGTATATGTGGGACAGCACTGCATTTGTCTGTTGTATAGTATTAAGAATGAAGTTTTCAGATTAAACCCACAGTTCTATGGTCACAACGGTAGCAGTTTGGGAATTTTTTTTCTGTTTGCTTTTAATTTGACTCAGATTCTCCATATAACTGCTTAGTAGAGGTGACAGACCAAACTGGGCAGTGGCCCCAATCTTGGAATCAGCTCAGTCTTACCAATGCAGAACAGGGTGTGCTGCCCCCAATTTTCCATTGCTTTTCGATTTTGCCCAGCCAGACGTGTATTTTAACACTGTGTACTCGGTGTATGCCCCCAAAGGCTTAAGGGTACTCGGGTGGGACTCGAACCCACGACCTCCTGCTTACTAGAGCAGAGGTCTTTACCACTTGACCACCAAGCTTGCCGTTGTCGGCTTGCTGGTTCGAATCAGATGTAGCAGCAGGTACCACGAACAACTGGATGAAAGCTTTTCAACTGAGCCTTTTAAGAACAAAGTCACCATTCCTGCTGCACCAAAATGACGTATTCTCTCTTGCAAAATATCATTGCTCTCATTGGCAACAACAAAGATAATGACACCAAAGCAGCTTACACTTGACTTGCCATGACTGTGTGGCACCTTATGGGCTGCTCCTTATTCATCAATATATTCTTCATGGGCTTGGACACTGCATAGCATCTTCCACCACCCAGCAATTTGACCAGGACCTCGCTATCATGTGCTCTAATGAAGGTGACATCGTCATTACACAGGCTACCCAATGTGGACATCTAGAAAATCTCATTGCAGAAAACATTGTTTTCAAAAAGAAACAGAGTCAGGGCAAAGAACTACTCATCACACAGTGATGATTTTAACACAATTAAGCTGCTAGTAGTGCTACACATGCAGAAGAGAGGAGTGTGGTTCACCGAAGCCAAAAGTGAAGAAGGGGTGGAAGAATTTGCAATTACCAAATGCAAATTTGCCACCCTTCCTCAGAGATTTAAAGAAGGGCCCAGAAAGGATTTTTATAACTAGTCTTGCTTTGGAGAGAAAGGTAGACATCTTAATTCGTGAGCACAGGGAAAACCTTGCATTCTACATCATGAAGATGGCAAAGGAGGTACATTTATATGTGATAAGGGAATAAAAGTGTACTTGGCCCATCTCAAACAGCATTTAAACCCGATTTTGGAGACACTATGCTGAAAAGTTATTCAGCTTTGGCTAGGGACATTATCAGCATTCATTCTCCACAGTCATTTTTCAGTGGTTGGCTCTCAACCACTAGGAAAGATTAAACTGTTTACGAATGGCATTTATAAACTAAATTATGTAGTCACTAAAATTATGCAAAATCTCTTGTGTTTTATTTAACCATTTGTATAAATCAATATACATGTAGCCATGTTTGATGTTTCTATGTATCTCCAGGGATGCCCTTCCACATCTTCATGCATGATTGTAATTACTCTGTCAAGAGATACTCGCTTTTCTTTCTAAATTCCTTTGTAAATTGGAAGATTATTTCTATAAATAAACAGAAAATTGACAACACTATGTGACTGCACAATCATGCTGATTAAACTGTCTTGCCTAACAAAGGTAAAGATATGATCATTATAATATACAGGTTACCGAAAGGGTGGGGAAGAACCTTGTAGTCTTTCCAAGGCAGCCCTTTTTGTCCTAACAGGTCTTTTCTGCCTATAGGAACACAATGGCAAATGAAGACTTTGCTTACCATTGATAAAATTCAGTTGACATTGCTTCAAGTTTGGTGAAACCAAGACTCCAAACCACTGCAGTGGGTTTATGGGTGGCTGTCCACTGTCCACATCCTTATCCTTTAATACTGGAGGATCTCGAACGTCTGAAAAGGAATCAAATTTAACAGAGAAACGCATCGTTGATTGTTAAATTCTCCTCTCAGCAACATCCTGATCATTGCAACCTCATTTTTCTGCGATCGTCTATGAAAAATGTCTGACATACAAAGGTTTGCTTCTGACAAAAAGACTGCTTTAATGAGTCCAATTTCAGTTTACAACATTGATTTTGTAAATGACACGTAATAACTGGTTTTGAAGCAGGATTTCACTAAAAAGGGCTCTTGGATCCTTTTGCTGTTTCACCTGACCCATGGCAATCGTCAAAAGAGGCCTATAGCTAGTGATGAATATGAAATTTGGGGAAAAGTTCCATATACAGCTGCCAGGTATTCTTCTTGGTGACTTAATAGCAATCAGAAAGCAAAAACATGTCCAGAAAAGGTCAATTTAGGAGGAAAATACCAAGTCATTTACTGAGAAAACACAATTTTTCAGACCTGTCTCATAGGGTTTGTGCACAAGGTGTCAAGTGGCATCCATAATGGATTTGGAATTTTTCCAAAGTTTGGCATTTGAGAAATGACATTTATGTACTGTTTCCAGTTGAGATTATACACCAGCTGGGGGTTTGAAAAATAGTGGATATAAATGAAAGATTCATAGGTTAATACTATAAAGTGTAAATTGCAAATACAGTTTGCCTTAAAGTGACCGGAAACCAAAATAGTGTGAGTTGAAAATGTTGAAGGTTCAACTGAATTTGAACAGGCTGTAATTAATAGTGGACCAAATTGATTGAAGGTTTTTTTATTGAAAGCTGGTGTAAAGGATTTTCAGTTTTGACTAATTCAAACAATATAGTTGTACCGGAGTTAAGAGACCTTGCAACTTGTCGAGAACTGTGCTGAGAAAAAAGTCTTTCTCCAAGAGGAATTATTTAATTAAAGTTTTTAAAGGAAACAAAAGTGTTGAGTGTTTTTTTTTCATTTATTTTATGATTGTGTATGGCATATTTCTTCAACTTGTACTTATCTGAGGGAGTCATCAAAAGTGACTTTGACACCGTCAATACCTGTAGTTTTACCCACATGAAGGGCGGAGAGCTGTTTTACAACATACTCATCAATTTCATCAAAGTTCAAATGTTCATTTAAACAAGATAAAATGTTGCATGCACTTTCAGTCTCATCAAAATTTTGTGCTAATTTATTTTCAATCTCAGTAAAATAGGTGTTGAAAGCATTAGCAATATCCTTTGGCTCCATAATGCAGGTGCTATTTACTTTAATATCCCTGACACATTCACGGTCTTTTGATGGAAATATACATTTAATTATCTTCCACAACTTTTTGCAATCACTTTTATGAAGCTGAATGATATTTGAGTAATATGCTTTCTTAGCATATTTGATCGCATTAGTTGTCTGGTTTCTTCTGGTATGGTACAATTCCCAATCCCTACATTTACCACTCTTCTGGGCAATTCTTCTACAGAAAGAATTTCCTGGTTAAACTGAAAAATCAGAATTGTAAATAGCTGCTTTTTAAAATAAAAGTAAATTTGTAAATAGGTTGCCATAAATAGAAAAGCTTGTATCGGGTGTTTTTATTTTGCATGACAGTGCAAATAACTGCTGAAGGCCATGTCTATGGGGTTGGGAGAAACCAGGGATCTGACAATGGCAACTATGGCAAAATCGTTGATTTCTCTGAACTCTGAACACAATCTTTCTCTGAACACTGCCAATGGTTGCTCCCAGATAGGTCAGTATATCCACACTGACTAAACTGCTTGAAATGTTCAAGCACCTGGTCAAGGAACCACCAATGATGATAACATGGATGTCCTAAACCATTTTGGAAGATGATGAAGGTCCTGACAGTGATGGTTTTTGGCCAGGACCTCCAATATGTACAAAGAAAAGACAATTTTGAAGTGAAATTTCACAGCATATCAAATGACAGTAATGCGAGGAAGGATCAATGTTGATATGATGGTGAAAAATCATATTTTACGGTTCCAACATTGCTACAACCATTAAATAGTGTATATTTTTCATGCCTACAAAAGTCTGAACCCAAATTGGTTTGCTACAGTCTTTTCATTTAGGTGAACTCAATGTGACTATATATGCCTTCTGATTTTTGGAAGTGAAAAACCAACCTAAATACAAATTTGGGGCATAGCAGGTGTGAAACTTGCAGAAGGTCGTAATGAGAGCCTAAATGGCCTAACTACACCCTGAAAACATTTATTAACAACTATCAAAAAAAATTCTGATGCACCAATTGATTTATTCTAGAACATTTTTATGATTTCTTGACAAAGCAACCATTTTCCTAAACTGATTATTTGATTAAATCTAACTGAAGATGATCAAACATGGCTTGTCATACTTGAATGACAAACCTACAGTGTGAATGTTAGAGCCAGACTTAGTGCATTCTGATGATACCACATGCCCTCCAAACTCTAACCTCCCAACACCCTACGACACCCCTCCCCCCAGCAAAAAGGAAAATCTCTACAGAGCTTGTGTTTGAATGTGGCATGTCTCCAATTATTTTGTATGCATTTGAACATTGAACATAATGAAAAACTGCAAAAAATATATTATTTTAAATTTTCATAATAAAGCATTAATGTCTAGACCCTCCCACTTCAATACTCCCTGAGCTATGTTAAAGTTATATTAAATACTGCTTAGCCTAAGAAGTCTAATGGAGCCTGCATAGTTCCAACACCCATCACTACCCATAAACGTCCCTGAAAACCCCTACGGACAAAGGCCAAACCAAAAACATACTGTAATATAATTCGACCTGACAACTGCCCAGGTCGGTCTTGACCTGCATCTGACCCCTGCGGCTAGAGATGCAGATCTGTTTTGATGGAAGTCTACCACAAGGCCCCCCAGCACACTACCAAGAAAACATCCTCACATGCTCACACACCACCCACAAATAAGGGAATGGAGGGCAGCTGGATACAGGTTTGCATCTTCCCTTTTGTCCTCGTAATTTATTCACCTTTAGGTGTACATCAGTGCCTCACCTATGTAATTTTTTTAATAAGTTACATAATTTTCAGAGTGGAAGTGATTCAGATATCAATGGGTAATTACAACTCGCACAAGTATGAGGCTCCCCTACTGTGACAACCTGCTTAAGTGTTTGACTGGTTAGCTATTGAAGACTGGAAGAAATTTACGATAAATTTCACAGAGACCACACTCTGATTGCAGGCCAGAGTGCGAGGCCAATATATACCCTGGCGTTGTAGGCCTAGACACAACATACTACTAGCATGCACACAATGGCTAGGTACTTACTCGAGAAACATTGCCCAGCAACCAACACTCGAATGTGCACTAATTGGTTTTCTGTCTTATGCATTGCATTACATAGGTATCTTCCAAGTTTGGTCAGTCCCTCACCTAAAACTGCTACTTAAAATAAAAGCAATGAAGAATCTTTAAATAATGTATTAATGTCTACTGCACATTACAACCTGAAACTAAGAGCACCTTATTGATTACAAGTCTTAAAACAATAGTAAGTGACACTCCAAATTAATTTGTCAACGGTGTAAACACTTGTTACTTTACAACAAAGTTTTATGCTCAAAAGAATGTGAATGGACACATATTTGACTTTTCCACCACAGCTTACAACTGAAGTTTTTTGTTAGAATCAGTAAATGACAGGAAACCCAGTGAATATTTCAGAAATCTAAAAGTTTAGCAAGGAGCCGGACACCAAACACATGGCAAACCGGCTATACAGACACACAGGACATACAGGTAACAATTCACATAAAATAATGGACTACTGCATCCATTCAACATATTACGATTGTGGCCACACTAAGGATACCACACCGTCCTTACCAACCAAGCACCACAACATGCACATGTGGGGCCTTGACGACGATACAGGCCAGCTAAAAGTACCCCACCCAACCTCCACAAAGATTACATGTAACACACCTTGCTTCACATTAACAAGTTGGCCCAACGAAACCAAAGGGCATCAAAATCTAACTTACAGCTAATTGAAAAAATAAATAATCAAAATTCCAAAAGGTGGGAAACGAGGAGGTTATACGCTACATACACTGTAGCCTGACTGGAACTGAGGCGCACTATTGTTAGCTAAATACAATTTTACGCAATTACTTCTAGAAAAAATGTGATAAAAGTTGGCCTACTGAATTAAAATTATGCTCTGTGAAATTTGTTACTATCCTTTTTTCTGCTAGAAACTGCTAATGATGACAGTTAACCTTAACCTAGCCCGTAGCAACAATGAAAGGACCATAATAATGGCGGAGAGTTTAGGGAGGTGGTGGACCGAACAAATAGTTTCAAGACAAAGCTGTGACAAAGTGACTACTGTAACGAAACAAGGGTAGGCATGAATGCCAGTCTAAGTCATGAATTATTAAGCATTGCGTTGACCAATCAGCGTTGCGTAGAGCACAAGGTCTGGGCGCTTGCGGCGTGCTTAGAGCGCACACATCAGTTCGTGAGTTTCGCTGCTGGGTCGCAGAGTGACAGGATCGTGGAGGACGCTGTCTACCGTTCTGTGCTGTGACTGTGCGAGGTATAGCGTGGACGCTGCACCAGGGGTGCTGCGTGTAGTGACTATAACTGGTAGGTGTATTTGCGAACCGTATTGGGTCTAGATTGCTTTAGTGATAGAGCTGAGTGTCGTGAACCTAGGCTGGGAGCTAGTGGTCTTTGCTGTTGGATTGCTTGTCGTCTGTAAGCACTGATAGTGGGGTGACGGCTGGAAGGCAATCTTGTCATTGGGCTAGCTAGCATTGATGTTTACTTGATGTACTCAGATCGCTGTGAGGATAATTTCCCTTTTGTTACATCGACCCTGTTTTGCATGACACTCTGTGTTATTTGTGTGAGGGCTACCACTATTTAGTGAGGTAACCCTTGGGTTGTAGACTAGCTGTGTTTAAGTTAGTTGGGTGGTTAGTTAACCACATGAGGTATTGGGTACATAAACCTTGTGTGATTTATATACC